TTGGTTTCTTCGGGAATGATTGGCTTGCAGTTTTAAACAGTATTGCCGCGGAGTCTTCATTATCATAAATATTTTCAAAACAGGGTTAAATTAAAAGTTACCAGTGCTAGAAGATAGATCATTAGTTGGTACAGAATTACTTTATTATAGTATTTCCAAAAGCAAGATATCCTATTATTTTTACTTTCTATGCCAAAATTGGTGAGGAAGTATTGTAATCGCGGGTATTATGTGACATTTCCGTCGGTTTGCCTGTCTGTCGGTGTGTCTGTCCGCTAATTTTATAAATATATACAAAAATTGCCCAAACTTTGTTTTTTGACGTTTTAGATTTAGAGGGTCCTGGTCATGTTCTACTAACTTTTTGTAGGGGCTGAAATTTGGGGGTTGGGGGTTGTAGGGGCTGGGGAATGGTATATAAATTTTAGTCATAATATGTTTATACGTTACGAACCCCGGTAATTCTATGCACCTATCGGCCATATTTCATATCTCTTAGATTTACCCGTACATTTGCATTTAAAACTTAGAATGATAGAAGAAATGTTTTCGATCCGCAAACTGCTGTCTAAAAAAAGCGAACCACCTCGCCAACTAGTCCGTATTCTATATGTATTCGTACTTAAGCCCAAAAAACAGCACAAACCTTAAGATAGCCCGCTGCAGAGATGCCGCGTAGATGTGGAAAGGGACAACGTTGCCACATGGTCGGTAACTACCTGTAGGGCAGGGAAATAATGTCTATGGACTAATTGTGTAACCTGCTCGACTGGCTTAATACGTTTAATTTCTCTGCTCTATATTTTCGTAGCTCGATATTTTCTCAGTGGACTTAAATTATTCTAAACATAATTGGAAGTGTACAGAAAATCCACTTGACGTCATTTTTTAATTCATAAAACATTTATTTCCAGTAAAATTGACACATCGTTATACATCTTGATCATTGCTCTACTTTTCTACGTATCCGCCGTTCCAGATTAAACTGTGCCAGTTTTTGTATGCTCATGTCATCATATTTAACTTCAATTTTACGGAACAGGTGGTAGTCACTGGGTGCCCAATCCAGACTTTATGGTCTGTGAGTACTGATTTATCATCCAAATAGCAAAAGACGGAGACATGTGGACGAGCATTGTCGTGAACAACACTCTTGCTCAACGGCAAATTTAGTTTGTCCAGTGGGGGGCGCTTCTGAGAACAAATGCCCTTGTGACCATTGAAGAGCGGTGGAAGGGGGGGGGTGGTTCTGGGGGGCTCCTTTTCGTCATTGTTAAATATTCTCCTCATTCAGTTCTAAATTGGGTGCTTCAAGATTCGCTCAGTGTTTCACAGTACCTACTTGCATCTGTCCTCTAAGATGAAGAATTAGATTTATATTTATCTGGAAAGCGATTCAGTTCCGCCGACGAAGTGCATATTTACCCTGCTTTTCGTATTGCCCTGGCATATACCATTCACGCAACGTATGGGGACGGTCATTGGAGTTATCTTCGTGTACGCCCCTGATGATGTGAGCGTCTCTAACAGAGCGAATGTTGCCTGGGAAGAAATCTCAATTAGAATTTAGAGAGATGGGATCTAAGTAAAAGGCATCGCACAGTGGATGGAGGTCCGAGCATATGAGTTGGGACGTTGTCTGATATGCCACAGCAACCGCAATGCTAGAGATGTGTTGGAAAAGTATTGTCCTGTGAGAAATTTTAGACAGAACTGGTAGGGGATCAACATTGTCATTAGATGACATAAGACATTAATTTAATCTTGCGGAAACTTGGACGGAAAACAATCGTGGGCATGTCCGCATGAAGGAAACAAGAGCAGAAATAGAAGGATTGGTAACCCGAGCAACGCGATGTACATTTCTGCTTATTGGCCTCATAAGGCCCAAATGGACGTGCACAGAAAACACCGAAGTGGAAGACAATAACTAACGTCTCCACGGAGGCCAGCTATAGCTACGCTAAGCAGAAACGTACGTCGCTCGGGTTATCAATCCTTCTATTTCTGTTAGTGGTTCATTTTTTGCATATATGCCCATGATTATATTATGTTAATTATTAGATAATTAATATACAAAGAAACGGTTCGGTGACAAAAAAAATAGAACACGCAGTAAAAACGATTATAGTGTTATCTTAGACAACAGTCAGCTATGAAACTCTCCTGTCAGTTTCAAGAACAGCCGCCATTTCGGTGGAGAAAATCGTACGTAAATTCTCGGTTCTTCATTTAGGAATGACCGGGAGTATGCGACAATCGCAAATACTCATCTATACCAATTAAACAATTTTAATGAATATAATTGAATTGTTTTACTTGGAGCATGAAAACTTATTTCAATAGTTATATAATTTTAAATAAATTGATCTACTCAATCTAAATAAACGGTCTAATAGATTTAATTAAACGACTACGTTTTGATTCAAATCAACTGATTTCATAGATTCAAGTAAACTCTTTGAGAAATCTCAGTTTAATTAAACTAATTGAACTTGTTAGCTGTCACAAAATAAATAAATCTTTTTAATTGGCTCAATTAAAACTTTAATTGGTTAAATCTATTTATTTTTCTCACTGCATAGAAGGCATGAATGGTTTCAGAATATTTGGACGTATTTCTACTGTGGCTCGAAATAACAAGAAAGTGGCAAAAAGTCTAATAACAAGTTTTCGCCATTTTTTGGTGCTGATCCCTATGAACTTTTGCATTTCAAAAAATAATCAGCAACTTCGGAAATATTCAAATATTTAGTTTGTGACGTACTCAAATCTTCCGTTTTTACTTGTTCCTGCACCACCATTAGTGAAAGCATTCAAGGTGTTCTGTCATAGTAGTTTCTTTGTATCAAAATTTTATTAGAATCCAAGCAGTAACTTCTGATGTATAGGAATAGAGAACCTCGTAGCTTTTTTGCTGTTATTTTATAGACTCAAAACAGTCATCCGCATACAGAATCTGCTTGATTCATATAGATCCACCCGTGACCACGTTTCTAAATGGAATGACCATCTCTAGAAAATGAGGACCTTAGGGGGCGGTATAGGTTTGGAGGTCGTCGGGCGTTCTATCTGTGGCTATGTCCAGGATGGGTGGACGTGTTTGAGCGGTGGCAAGCTGGCTATGGCAAGTGACAGCCTGCACGCAGGTCCAAGTCCGGACGACCTGAGACCAGGGACCCGACAGCGGACACCGTCGGCTGATCGGAGATATTTACCCGCCTCTTATGACGGTGCGCGGAATTAGTTTGTGCCGCAACGCCTCATGTCTGACGCTTCACGCTCACCGCTCAATGCCAACCTTGATACAGTCGATTGGGAAAAGTATGGAAAACATTATACATTCATCTTTTTACCTGTTAGGGTATTTATTGCACAAGTCCGTCGTACAACAAACACATTTTATGTACTAAACGACACAGAAAATGCAACACCGACTAGGAGTGCTTCTGCAGAAAGTGATTAAAATTTTAACTCGAAATTTTGCGAAATAGCTGATATATAGTGTGTTGAAGCTCCTTCAATGTTTGTGGAGGGTGCGGTGAATTTTTTAACCTCCTTCCCATCATGTCCCATACATTTTCGATGGGGACAATGTCTGGAGATCGAGGAGGCAGCTCTAAAAAGTCTAAACCAGCACGTGCGACATGAAGTCGTGCATTGTCCTGCTGGAAAAATGGATCTTGCAATGTTTCCAAAAAGGGAAGCAGATGTGGTTGTAAAACTTCGTGGATATAGCGCTGGGTATTTATCGATTTGAAATGAGGATCTTCAAGATCCTATTGATACTCCGCGAGTGCATTCCGAACTTTGGCTTCGTCGTCGATGTTTCTTTCCATCAGTGCTGCATATGTTTGCCTATATCATGCAAAAGCCGTGTTTTTTTTTTATACTCCAACTACCACGAAGGCCTAAGGCCTAAGCACCCTATGGGTACCGTGGGGCTATGGGGGATACATGGGAAAGGGGGGACGCCACACGGACTCTGGTGAGGGAACACGTGTGCATGCAACATGCACATATTCTGGCTCCGCCTACGAGAACCGCCGGGTGGTACCTCCGCGTTCGACAGTCAGAGACCATCTACCACCTACGAGATTGAACACAGTTGAAGACTTAGACAGCCCCAAATGTTGCAAATTTAGGACGAGGTAGACAAAATCGTGTTTTTGAATCGAACAGTGAAAACTTCAAGCAGTGTTTACAAACAAAACATGTGACAGGGCAGTGTGACAGTGTGGTTTTAGTGAGTATGCCGCATTTTGGAGAATCTCACACTTCGGGTAGAAACGGTCGACAGGACAGTGTTGTCGAGCTTTTCTGCATGAGAGTGAATATAAATGCTTTTGTTTGGAGATAGAGAACCTAGGATATGCATTGACTGTACTCTAAAGCCGCAACCCAGCAACTGCAAGTGCTGCGATATCGATGCGCCGAAAGATCGACTACACCGGCACAGCACAAACGAACATTACATATAATATGAGTATGCACCTATGGGTGCCCATAAGTAATGGTAAATAATTTAACAGCAGATTCCCTTCAAAGAAATATTGAGATTAAGCTAAATTTTCTTATTCAGAAAGTCAAAGGCAACCAATAGAAAGGGTAATAAACTTATTGTATTTTTTCCAAATTTTGGTGACAAACTTTGCATTCATTCATCGTTTTTAACGAAATTTGGCATATGATGATTTTTTATATGACAAATCTAAAAATTCACCTTTTTCTCAAATTATCATATAGAGGGCGCCACCAGTAACATTTTCTGTTTTTTAAACTTGGTAACATTTTCGTCTTGGCATAATTTAATTTTTTATTTAAAATATGCATTGTGCAATCATGTTGGTATACTTTGAAAAGCTCGCTATGATTCAGCCTCTTTTAGATATGATCAGTCGCCGTGCGCTGTGCGGGTTCGAGTCCCGTCCCAGGAGAAATTTTTCTCTTGGCTATGGATGGAGGTACCACTCGGCGGATCTCGAAGGCGGAGCCAGAATGTGTGCATGTTGCATGCACACGTGTTCCCTCGCCAGAGCCCGTGTAGCGTCCCCCATTTCCCCTGTATCCCCCTATAGCCCCACGGTACCCAATGGGTGTTTAGGCCTTAGGCCTTCGTGGTAGTTGGAGTATAAAAAAAACCTCGCATGCCAAATTTCGTTAAAAACAAAGAATACATGCTACATTTACGGCCAAAATTAAAAAAATACAATAAGTCCATCAACCTGTATCTTGGTCGCCTTTGACTTTCGGAGTAAGAAAATTTTATTCAATCTCAATATTTCTCTGAGAGGAATCTGCTGTTAAGTATTTACCGTTAATATGTGCTGTGACACAGGAAATGTGAGAACCGCCCCCCTCCAGGAGTAAAACCGCCTCAGCACATCTTTTCTCGCCTCCGTCAGTTAACTCACAACTATAGCATTTTCCCAGGGTTTTGAGAATTTGATCATATTCAACGCAGAGGGTTGAAAACCAAGGTTATACAGAAATAACATTATTAAAACGGAGCTTCTGGAAATTTGAAGAATTCCCGCTTGATTACAGGCGATAGTAAATTAACCAAGAATATCACTAGCTTAGTGGTGAGGCTTTATATATTTTTTTAAAACTTTGAAGTGATATTTTCAACGTTACCCAGTTTACTGATCAAAACTCTTATTATCTAATTAAATTAAGTAATATTAAATTTAGCTTAGTTTCAAGGCGGACTTATACGTAAAAAATTTGAGTTTTTCCAAACTTCAAACAGATCTCGTGACAATCGACGTCAAAAATTTGGAGCTGAAAATCTAGAACACCTGCTTTGATATACTTTCATGATTAGAAAAATATGAATCATGCCTGATCTCAAAATTTTTTCGCCTCCTAAAAAATCATAAGTAAGTCCCAAACCGACCAGAAACTCGAAAAACATAATTGGGAGAAGTTCTGTTTACCTCAGTTTTTGCACATAACTTCTGCACCTCGAGTCAGATTTCAAAACCCGAAATCTCGTCTATTTCATTTAAAAATCACTTTAAAATAAGGTAATCCTAAAATACTTTCCGGGATCTTGTAAAGCAAGGTCCAATATGTAATTTAGATATTTGGGGACCTTTTTTTATATCGGAGCAGCCGCTCAGGCAGAAGCCTAAATGCCGGAACACCGCGGCTGCTAAGATGATCCCAAAGAAATTTTGTTAATACGATTTTTGAACTGCCTAAGGTTAGTTGAACTGGGAAAAGCTTTCCCTTGTAGATTGTTCCACAATCTCGACGCCGTCGGAACAAAGGAGCGGTCGTATCGGCCAGTTCTGGATATACGAAGTTCGACACGGTTAGGATCGGACACCAAAGTCAGGTGGGTCCGTCTGACAGGCACATCGCGCGGCGGCAGCATGGAAGGGAGCTAGATCGCCGACGGCCCGCCGGTGCGAAAGAGTCCCGAGACTGTCTGATAGAAAAGAGTCATCGATCAGTCGGACCGCCCTTCTCTGGACAGCATCGAGGATGGATAATATAGTCGGAGCGGCAGCACCCCAAACATGTGAGCAATACTCGAGGCTAGGCCTTATCTGGGCCTTGTATAGAGTGAGAAGGTGATGCGGAGAAAAGTACTTCTTACTCCTAAACAAATACCCTAGCTTTTTCCCAGCAGCTGCACCTATTGACGAGATGTGTTCGTGCCAGATCAGGTACTCGGTGATCTGGACTCCGACCAGCCGAAATGAATGGCTCGTTGGCAAAACTCGGCTGTCCATCGAAACTGGATGAGCGCTAGGACGCTTTTTGTTCGTCAAAGTACAGTACTGTGTTTTGGAAGAATTGAACTGTACAAGATTGTTGCGTCCCCAAGCAGTGATAGCCTCCAGGTCTCTTCTCAGAGAGGAAGTCGTCGCTAGTCTTCTTTTTTTCATCTCAGCGGCAGAGATCGGCTTGTCACTCTGAATTCCTGCATGTAGAGTGCTGTCACCAGCGAATCTGTGGATTGGGTTGATCGTGCAGGAAAGGAGGTCGTTGTAAGTTATAATTTTTGACCGAGTTTTTTAAGCATTGAATATACCCAAAATGGTCAGCTTTCAAGAAAAGTTAATGGACAGCTTTTTTGTTCACCCAAAAACCTGAAAAAAATCTATCCGGGCAACGGAGTAAGTAATAAAGTAATTCATTAAAAAAAGTTTTTAGACAAATTTGATCTGAGATACCATACTTAAAAACTCGGTTAAACAACATAATTTTTGGGGTCGTCAAGTATCTAAATTGACTTTAAAACCTTGCTCGGCATGACCTTGGATAGTATTTTGAGGTCAGTTTGTTTTAATGCCTTGCTCGCATCATTGTTTATTTAGGCGAAAATTCGCGAACAAACATATTGGTAGGTCAAATGAACCATCTAGACTAAAGTCCACATAAACACATGGCAAGTACCTCAATTTCGAAATACTTATTGGCATCAACGCAACAAGCGAGCAACGGCGCGTTTACGATAGCAAAATCTCAATCACTGCGTATCGGTTTATGGAAATGTTGCCTACAATTTGGAAAAAAATCAAACCTGTAAATTCACATCATTTTGGAGGAATCTATACAGGGTGTTTTAAGAGTCATTTATTTTAACTGCTTTTAGGACTCGTGAAAAGGAGTTGATATACCAAAAATCACCTGTATAAAAGTTGCATAAAAGAAATAGTAAAAGATTAAACATTTAAAAAAATAAGAATGTTATTACACAGGTTTTTTGAAATTCTCGAACACTGCCGTGTAAAATCTATTTTGTTTAGGTACTACTCTTATCGTGTATCTAAATTTGGCAAAATCTTTGTGTTTATTGTATGGTTTTCAGTACGAGTCTTTGGTTCTGTCAGTTGTATCAGTCTTTTAATATTGTCTATATCTTCTTTAATCATATCTAAATAAAAGAGAATATCAACAATTGTGAAGTAAAAGAGGACAGGAATTGCGGGAACCGGCAGGCTTATTACGTAAAAAACCTATATAATGTGAAGAAATGGGTAAAATGTGAACTTGTGCGCTTAGTAGTCGCTAGTGTCCAGAAGTTTATTCAGCGCTTACTACAAGTAAGCACTAAATGAATGCCAGCTAGTTCAAAGCTGACACTTTATAGGAAAACCGACATAATGTCAAAAAACCGACATATGTCATAAAAAACCGATATAACATCACTTTTTAAGTTACGTAATACGAGTGCCGTTGGCTAATGAGTGGAGAATGGTTGATCCCGACTTAAGGAATTGCCTCTGACCAGACGTCTAGAATCACCAGCTCGTTACAAACCAGATACGCGCACGCCAATGCGTTAAAGAAGAAAACAAATCCCATTTGTAGCGAACTGTAGAGCCATTTTCTTTGACTGATTATTTAGTACGGCCTGTTATATACGAACACCGTGTCGAAAGTCAGCCCTGTGGCAATAGCGTTCTCGAAGTTGGTCCCATTCCGGCGATCTTACCTGCGCCTGTGTGTTTCTCTAATTTTGAATGCGTCACACACCAAATTATAACGATCCTTAGATAATTGGGAATTATTATATTTGAGTCTATTGGGACCGTAAATATAACACCAATTTATAACAACTAATTGACAGGAATGTTGTGAACTGTCCCACAGTCTTCCTTATTTAGATAAAAAAAATTATCGAAGCATATGCCTCTGGGCTATATATTACGTAGGTATCTTGTAATATACAACATACTTCACCGTCAGGAGCTTTTGCTAAAATCTTAGACCAGGACACATGCTAGTATGGAATAGATGTTCCAAAGGCCAACAAGACTGGCAAGAATTGAAATACTGAAAAATTACTATGTCTTTACGCACCCACTTGGCCATGTAGAATTCACCCAGGGGTTGTTAGACTAAACATCTAGAAACGAGTTGGAATTTGTTCATACCGGGGGGTCTGAAACACCTCTTCTACCTCATACGCCTTTGGGCGACGAAGTATTGTAACCATGAGTTAACACAATCTCGGATTCCAATTTTTCTGAGCTTATCAGAAACAAATTTGTGGGAAAAATATTGCTGTTACGAGCATACCATTATCGACAAGTACAGGGTGACCGATATGTAACTGACTGGTTTGCATCTTGGATATTTGTGAAATGAAATACAATACGTCCATTTTTTCATCTTAATCTCTTATTGAAATTCAGAAATTATGTATGAATAATAATATCAGACAAATGTACCGCCTCTAGAAGCCGCGCGAACCTTAGCCCTCTTAATTACATTTTCCATCACTTTTTGGTGGGTTTCGGGAGGAATATGTTCAACCGCTTCCGTAATATTGTTCTTCAGCTGCTGTACAGTATTTGGTTTGTTGACTTAAACCCTATTTTTCGAAAATCCTCATAAAAAAGTCAGGAGCCGTTAAATACGGTGACCTTGGTGACCATGACATCACCAAATCGAGTAATTAAACGTCCCGGAAATATTGTTCGCAAAAGATTGTTTCCCTAGCTGTGTGAAAAGTTGCTCCATTCTGCTAGAACCACATGTCTTGCAGGTTAAATTGTTGGATTGGAGGAGCCAGAAAGTTTTGCATCATATCACGGCCAGTGCACACTAAAAAAATTACGTGCAGCTTCTTCAAATAAGATACCTCCATACCAAACACCGCACCAAACTCTGACTCGACGAGGATGTAGTGGCCGTTGATGCATGACTGTACTGTCGGCGACTTTCATGGTCACTAGGATGTAGCCAGTTCTCGAGAACGATGTCTGGTAGATGTCTCAGGGCGCTCCACAACACTTTCACGAACTGTCTCGATATTTTCCGGATTACGAACAGTTCGAACACTGCTCGACCTTGGCAAGTCTTTAACTTCATCTGTTTGTTCAAATTTCCGCACCAACTGACGAATGCTGTTGACACTAAGCACATTATTTCGACCGAAATCTTGTCGTAGCTTCCAAATCGTTGCAACAATCGACTCATTATTTAAGTGAAACGTTTTAACAACACGGACGCGTTGTGCTCCATGATGAATTGGACACATTCTTTAAACAACTACAACGGCACTACCTACTGAAATGGCGCGCAATTTGAATCAGTC